CGCTCCAACCGGAGCGCGCGCGGCGAGAAGGACCGTTGAGCTGCTCCGCTGGCTGGGTGCAGGCTGCGGGCTGCTGCAGCGCAGGGCTGCTCGGCCGTGCTTGAAGGCTGTGCAGGCTGCCTCCTGGTATCGCCCGCACCTACCTCTCCGGATGGGGCGCGAAAACTCGTGGGGGTGCCCCAGGAGCGAGATGCTCTCCACCACTTAGCCCTCGCTGGGCAGGTGCCGTCCAGGTCCTGTCTGGGGCCGCCAAACCAAGCCAGCCCACTGCCAGAGAGACTGAAGGAGGTCCCGCAGAACAGAGCTGGAACTGCCCCTTAGGGTTCCCTCTCCTGAAATGCGTTAACAACTGCTTAGCAGCCTAGTACATCAACCGCTGTGTTGCCAGGCCTCCGTGCGGTGGTAAAGGAGGTTGGTTTCACTGTTTTTAACCTGAGCGTATGTCAGAACCACCTGTGCAGTTTAAGGGGAAGGGGAAAGGTGCCCACGTCTGAGCACCAATTTTGGTACAGCTGTCAATCAATAGGCCCTAGTCTATTTGAGAGAAAGTGCAGATAATTCTGATACCAGACTGAGAATAACTGCGGGAGGTTGGTGCAATTTAGGCTCCTAAAAGAGAGGAAAGGGTTGGGCGAAGAGGGATGACTTAGTTAAGTGAAGAAGCCTGCAGATAAGACAAGAACTAAAACAGGACACTAAAAGATTTGTTGGATAATTGAAATAAGCCTGTCTAAGGTCACTGAAAACTAGAAATCCGTAGTTTTCTTGTCTAAAATAAATGCATTAACCTTTAAATGTACAATCTAATGAAACAAGACAATCAAAAAGACAAAAAAAAATTAAGATGGAAACTTGAGCACACACATTTACCTTGTTGATGTTGTTAAATGTCCTCCAGTCATAGGCAACTCATAGCAACCCTATGAACTCTTAAAATCTCATTATTCTCTCCCTACCCTAAGTCCTAAGGAATAAAAAAAAATTTCTAGAAATATTAAATAACTCTCTAAAGAGTTTAGGTTGGGGTTTTGTTTTGTTTTTCAATAAAAAAAAGTGCTTATGACTGAATAGTAGAATGAGCTGATCTGAATTAAAATTATTTGCAAAAAGGAACGGCCACATCAAGAATGGATATAGGCATTCCAATGTTTGATAGAAGTTAGAATGGTGGTGAAGCTTTCTCCTGAAGTTTCACCTAATTCCTCACCTAATCTCTATTATTTCATAATGTTGGTAACAGTGACATTTGGGGGTAATAGAAGTTAGTATTACCTTGGACCTTGTCATGTTAAGTGCTATTGAGTCTAGTATGACTCACAGTGACTCTATGAACAAAAGACCTGAACCCTGTCCTATCCTGGTGCCACCTTCATACTTTCTGACACACTAGAGCCCATTGCTGCAATCACAGTGTCAGTGCATTTGGCTGAGGGTCTTCCTCTCCTTCGCTGACCCTCCACCCTTGCCAGCATCATGTCCCTCTCCAAAGAATAGCCCTAGCAACATGCCCCAAGTATGGGAGGTGAAGCCTCATTATCCTTGCCTCCAAATAGCACTCCAGATGCACCCTCTCCAAGACATACTTGTTCTTTTGGCCGTCCATGGGATGTTCAGTGCTCTTCTCTAACACCACAGCTCAAAGGCATAATTCTTTTTCTTTCATACAGCTCTCAGATGCATAGCAAGTGATCGGAAAGACCATGACCTGAAACAGATATACCTTAATACTCAAACTGATGTTATTACTCCTCAGAAATTTGGAATTTACGATAGTCACTAAAAAGTCTGGTTATTTCCTCCTCCAGTGCAGTTAATCAGAAAGGATCAGATGAACTTTGAGGTCAGGCTGCAAAGAAGGTTTGAGTTTCAGGAGCTGCATCCTTCTTCAAAAGTTCCTGGCCTATGCTTAAAAGGCTGTAGCTGATTTTGATCCTGGTGGTGCAGTGGTCAAGCCTCTGACCTAAACCTGTCTTGTGTTAGTTTGCTTTTATTATTACACAAACTGAAAATGGAGAGGGTTGTTTGCTGAGTTCATTTCTTGGGACCCTACAACCAGAGAACGCTGTGAGTCAGGTCCACCTTGTTGCCAGTATGAGCAGAGTGCACTTCTTTCCTGTAGCAATTAACTGCCTCCACCTGGTCTCCTCCCAGCTCGCCAGGCATGTGAGGGTGTATTGCTGTTTCAGCTGCTCCTCCCAGCATTCCTGCCTTAGAAAAACCAGCTCAGTACAGAACTTTTTTTAAGCATTTAGGGTTTACTTTATTGAAATACACCTTATGACAAGCATGACAGTAGAATCTGTAGAAAAGCAGGGAGTGGGTTAGACGTACACAGGGATGACACCTTTCCTGTCTCCTAAAATTTTTAACATTATGCCCAATTTTGGAGCCATCTGATGTTATTACTCAGTCTCATTTTCCACAACAGCGACTCCAAGTCTTTGCTACCCTGTTATACCTATTACTTTGTTCACTCTTAAAAATTATATTTTACACCAAATCCCAGAGGAAATGGAGATTCTCAAACATTAACTCCCTCAACATGCAACCCAGGCCTCTAACTTAGCCCCCCAAACACCTTTTCTCCTGGTATGGAGGGAGTGAGGGGGGTGATTAATCTTTCTCTTGGTTCTATCCCTACAGTTCTTCTGGGCCTACGCATTTTTAGTTACACAGTCCTGCATATACAACATCTCTTTATAAATTTCACAGATATGAGTAGGAGAAAGATTACACTTGACCATACATAGGTTTGGCAAACAATATGCATATTTATACATCCATGTATGCAATTCGTTGTTTTCATTTTCTCTCTCTCATCGCTGATGAGTCAGAACTGACTCATAGATGACCTTCCAGATGGTTTCCAGAGACTGTAAATCATACAATAGGAGATTACCTATCTTCCTCCCTTGGAGCTGCTAGTGGATTTCAATGAACAAAGAGGTGTCACCTTTGCATTTGAAGCACACTATGGAACACATTACCAGAACCGTCTTGGAGGAAGTACAACCAGGCAGCTCCTTAGAGGCAAGGATGGTGGAAATGTGTCTAAATACTTTGGGCATGTTTTCAGGAGGGACCAGTCCTTGAAAAAAAGGCATCATGCTGGGAAAGGTAGAGGGTTAGCAAAAGAGAGGTAGATCATCCACGAGATGACACAGTGACTGAAACAATGGGCATGAGCATGGTGGAGATGATGAGGGTGGTGGAGGACAGGCCGACATTTCAATCTGTTGTTCACAGGGTTGCTGTGAGCTCTAGTAAACAAAACAACACCTAACAATACACCAACAACATGTCCGGAATAGAACAACCAACAGTGATCAAAGGTATGTAAACATCCTAATCATACCTAAATACTCTGAGGGAGGGATGTTGATTGAAGGGCCTCAGGACCATAGTCAAGAGATAACCAAGGCCAGCTGGCATAATAACATAGTCCACAAAGACCATGTTCTACAGCCTCCTCTGGTGAGTAGCAATTGAGGTCTTAAACGCTTTCAAGAAGCCATCTAAGGTGCCTCTCCCTGTCTGGAACAAAGACGAGTAAAGAAAATCAAAGATGCATGTAAACAATTCATCCAGTGCACAAGTGCATCATTGGAACCTCAATCTTCTTGATCTGAGATGAGAACTAGACAGTTCCCACCTACCATGTTGACCACAAGGGTTTACAGGAGAGGGTCCTGGACAAAGAAGAAAAATATGGAACAAAGCGCAAACATGTAAAAATGGTTGCAGTTGCTGGTCTGATAGACCTTTCGAGCCTGAAATTTAACTCATTCCTGTGGCTTGACTATCAACCTATTGTACAGCAACATCACTGAGTCTACCTAAATAAAAATTTCCCGAGGAATAAAGATGGTCTGGACCAGGGTGACACCCATAGTCACAGAGTGGAAATGGCTACTCTATTGGACTGAGGAAACTTATTAAATTGTTGAAGGGGGTACTAAAGTTTACACAATTCCCAATTTTGTAAAGATCATCTAGTGGAGTGATAAGGAGCTGGGCTACCAATCCAAAGGCACATGGTTCAAGTCCAACAGCTGCTCCACAATCTCCTCCCACACATTTTCCTGCATCTGCCTACCTCCCTTTCTGAAGATATTTACTTATTGGGGTTTCCATGCCTACTGCTGCCACAGGCTTGG